TTTTTTTTTTTTTAAAGCCAATGGACTGGAAGATGAGTTACAGCCAAGATCTGGGAGCCCCTGGATCAGCTAAGTGAAGACTAAGAGGGTTAACCCTGTCCCGCTCTTGGAAGTGACCTCTAGGCCCTCAAGGCCACGTTGTGTCTGAAGTTACAACATCTTTTTTTTTTTTAATGTTTATTTATTTTTGAGAGAGACAGAGACAGAGCGTGAGCAGGGGAGGGGCAGAGAGCGAGGGAGACACAGAATCCGAAGCAGGCTCCAAGCTCTGAGCTGTCAGCACAGAGCCTGACATGGGGCTTGAACCCATGGACCATGAGATCATGACCTGGGCCAAAGTCGGATGCTCAACCGACTGAGCCTCCCAGGCGCCCCTGAAGTTACAACATCTTATCTCTTCCCTTTCCTGCTCAATTTGTCCTTTCCTTGCCTATCATTTCCATTTCAGAAATATTCATTTCTTGAAATGTTTTAAAAAGATGACTTTTTTGAAAAAAAAATTAAAAGAGAAGGCAGTTGATGTTTGCCTTGTATGTTGCTTTTTAAATTGGCCATGTGGGCAGAGGGAGAGACTAAAGACAGAAGCAAACCATTCTAGATTGGTAGGTGGCAGTTTTAATCAGCAAGGGAAATTATGAGGCATCTCTGCAAGAGAAGGAGACCCCCACGCCTGCCTGCCAAATCTTAGAAGTCTGTACAGAGGTCCTAACTGGATTCAGTCAAGTATACCAGACAGATGGCCAACACCACATTTCTGTCTCAAGGCTGTACCCCGGGGACAGCTTCTGGGAGTGGGGAAGGCAGGTGGAACACACATTTCCACGACTGGGGAGGGAGTGAGAAGCCTCCAATTGCCTGGGTCCAGCTCGCGGGTCAACCAGTGGTCACGTCTTTTTAAAAATAATTTTTTTTTTAACGTTTATTTATTTTTGAGACAGAGAGAGACAGAGCATGAACGGGGGAGGGGCAGAGAGAGAGGGAGACACAGAATCCGAAGCAGGCTCCAGGCTCTGAGCCATCAGCCCAGAGCCCGACGCGGGGCTCGAACTCACGGACCGCGAGATCGTGACCTGAGCTGAAGTTGGATGCTTAACCGAATGAGCCACCCAGGCGCCCCAGCGGTCATGTCTTTTTGATGACCTCTTCCAACACCTCAAATCCATACAGTGGCTCTTAGGGGATATAGAATATAATGGATATAAGTCAAGGTCCTGCTCACAAAAAGCAATAAATACTCTATAAGCCAAGGGAGTATATTTTTACTTCTACAACTTGAAGCTTTATTTGGGATATCATATTCATGGCCCACGCACAAGTGAGAACTGCCATGATTTTGTGAAATGACTATCAATCAGGAAGTGTAGGTAAGCTCAGATATAAGAGACCAGACCCTGCTATCATTTAGCCCATCTGACCAGACGCTGGGATTCACACACCTACCCACATAACTAAAGTGCTTGTGTTAAGCTGATGGGATTTTAGGTAGTTTTTCTTTATTTTCCAATATTTCAGAATTATGGCTCTTACAATGAAGAAAATAATTGGAATCAAAGAAAAATAAATGCCTTCTCAGCAGAGTGGAGTAATAAACTATCATAAAGCCATTTCATCGGACACACGGAGTATTCCCACTGAGGAACCATGGGCCACGTCACATGTGCACAGCTGTAACTTTCCTTGTAGTCATGTGATCTTTGGCTTGTTTGGGATGAATGTGACAAAATTTTATTACATCTCATTACAGAAAAAGAGAAGCCATCCTCTAAGCAATCAGTGATCTTTCCACAGAAATTCCTTCATGCCTGTGCTGTCTCAATAGTGAAAAACAACCCAAATCGTCATCATCAACAACAAACAGTTGGACTAGATCTGCAAACACTTCACTGAGCCATTGGCTCTGCTCTTTCCTTCCTTCTTCCACCCTCTTACAGGCTTGTCTTTCATCTACTTCTTTTATTTTATTTTTTTATGTTTATTTATTTTTGAGAGAGAGAGAGAGACAGAATGCAAGCAGGGAAGGGGCAGAGACAAAAGAAGACTCCGAAGCAGGCTCCAGGCTCTGAGCTGTCAACACAGAGCCCGACACGAGGCTCAAACCCACGAACTGCAAGATCATGGGCTGAGCTGAAGTCAGAGGCCCAACCGACTGAGCCACCCAGGCGCCCCAATCCTTTATCTCCTTCTGACAAGACTTTCTATCTTGTACTGCTTTCTGTCCTCCTCATGGGCCAAAGGTCAAAACCCTCCTCATTCAGTCTTCTGTCAGGAAACAAAGGCCTCTCCAAACTTCAAAACTCACTACAGTAGAAATGTGTCCTAAACTTGTTTCTCCAGGCCCGGTCCTTTCCTCTGTATCTCTAGACAGAGGAGCACACATGGAGATGACCCTCAGCCCCTCAGATTCAAACAAAAATCACTCCTGTGCATTCAAACCACCTCCCCATCCTATGGCCGACTGCTTACCATGGCTTGTAGAAAACGATCAAAGCTCTTCAGTGTGGCATTCAAGGCCACCACCAATCCACCCTACTTTCCTCCTGCACGCCTATCTCTCTCTGCTTCCCAGAAAATCCCCGGATCCAGCAATGCTGACCCACAAGACAGCCTAGGAATGAGAAAGAACCGAAATCTGATCCCGACTTCTCCACACGTCTGCCCTGTTACCTGGGGATGGCAGGTGCTTCGAACCTCAGTGTGCTCATCGGTCACATGTGAATGAAGAGAACAGAACCTACCCCCCTAGGGGAGCTGGGATCATGATGTGGTAACATGAGAAAAAGACCTGGCAAAACACTTGGCATTGAGTAGGACTCTACAAACAGTAGCTACGATGACTACTAATCAGCACTGAATGCCTCCTCTGTGCATAGCTCTGTTCTAGAAACTTTTGCTGGCAATGTCATCCTCCGCCTCACTGTCTTTGATCACAAAGTAGAGAAGTCCCGTTTCTCACCTCCGCACCAAATTCGGTCTCCAGTTCTTTCTCACCAGGACTCTGTAAGCGCCTAGGCCGAGGGGTGGGGATTTCCTGCAGCAGCGTGCTTTCTGCTTTGGACTAAAAAGGCAGACAGAAAATTACTGCTGCATAGTGTCACTGATGCCATCTCGATGGCAGACAGTCACTAAAAACTACACGCTGCGCTTCTTTAAGAGGTAAGAGCGAATGAAATGGTTAAGAAAAAGGACATTAAATTCTTCTTAAGCATAATTTTCCACCTGTGCCAATGTTAAATACTACATTAATATTTAAAACATGAAAAACAAATTTAACGGCATTCAAACGCATGCAGTTTTGAGCAAACGCAGCATTCTAGACAAGACCTGGAGAACTGCAATCAGCACGGAACAAAATATTCATGTGGTTTTTCTCACCCTGGCAGCCTGCAATTTCTCCCTCATGCGTTCCCTCATGGAAAATTCTGCAAAGCCCGTTCTGGAAGCTGAAGGAATTGGAGGTAAGCCTAAAAAAATACAGAAAAATTACTTTAAACAACATTTTTTTTCCCTTTTTTTTCCAACAGGAAGATTAGATTAAAAAAATAACAGGAGAATGTAATTTTATTTTGCAAATTTAGAACTTCACATAAGCAAAGATGAGATAATGCTGACAGCCGTCCATTTGACGTAATAAGTACATGTCTTGGCTTCTTTGCGACTGAGACGGAAAACCTCGGTCCTGCCAGCAATGCCACATCGACTTAACTAAGAATAAAAGGAATGCCACTCAACTATTCCAGGCACGGGCACACCAATTCAGTTACCATTGGGAAGAGCCTTTCCAATCTGTGGAATGAGAAACAGGCTCGTAGGTGAATGGATGGCCAACGAGTTCGGGGTTCAGCTTTCCAACAGCGCTGATAACTTCAATCGGAGAAACCCTTCTAGAGACCCAAGCCATGGCCCTAGGCTAAATCATAGACACAGCATGTATTTCAAACATATTATTAGATATATGTAGGGGCACCTGGGTGATTCAGTCAGTTAAGTGTCTGACTTTGGCTCAGGTCGTGGTCTCGCGGTTCCTGGGTTCAAGCCCCGCGTCGGACTCTGTGCTGACAGACAGCTCAGAGCCTGGGGCCTGCTTCAGAGTCTGTGTCTCCCTCTCTCTCTGCTCCTCCCCACCTCTCACTCTGTCTCTCTGTCTCTCAAAAATAAATAAAAATTTAAAAATAACAATAATAAAAAAAGAGATGGCCCTTGATGTTCTTTTTTCACTCACTTAAAAGATCATCAAGCCACTATTTTCCATTTTGAAGATCACGTAAACGTGGCAGATCACATGCACTGTTACATGTACTGAGGGTCCCGAGACTTTTCCTGTATGGCATTGGCCACACTGTGAACTCACACATTTGTGTGATTATTTGGTTAATACCCGTTTCCTCCTCAGGTTCCATGGTCCCCAGCCACGCAGGGCAGGCACATGGCAAGTGTCACAGAGTGTGTGTGGTTCCCTGATGGGACAAAGGCGGGCTTCCTGACTGGTTCTTGCCAGTCCTGTTGTCTGCCTGGCCACCCACCTTGCTTCTGCTCCAGAGAGAAGTCCTTTAATAGTCAATAATAAGTGTTTTTAAACATGAAAATGGGGGCGCCTGGGTGGCTCAGTCGGTTGAGCGTCTGACTTCGGCTCAGGTCATGATCTCGCAGTCTGTGAGTTTGAGCCTCATGTCAGGCTCTGTGCTGACAGCTCAGAGCCTGGAGCCTGCTTTGGATTCTGTGTCTCCCTCTCTCTCTCTGCCCCTCCCCCGCTCATGCTCGCTCTCTCTCTCTCTCTCTCTCTCTCTGTCAAAAATAAACGTTAAAAAAATTTAAAGAAAAACATGAAAATGCACCTTATTCATTTACTTCCCCTCCTTAAAAAAAAATCCAGTTTTTCAAGTTTACTTAAAATAGCTACCACCTAATTCACGAGAATAATTTTATGAATTAGTGTTTAAAAGAGAGACAATATATTTTATTAAACATTATCTCATCTGAATAAAAAAAATGAAATGGCTTCTCTAGGATTACCTTTTTTAAATATTTTTTTAAGCTTATTTCTTTATTTTGAGAGAGAGAGAGAGAATCCCAAGCAGATTCCACCCATTGTCAGCGTGGAGCCTGATGTGCGGCTCGAACTCACAAACCTCTAGATCATGACCTGAGCCAAAAATCAAGAGCCAGAGGCTTAACTGACTGAGCCACTCGGGCACCCCTCTAGGATTACTTTTAAAAACTGAAAGATTTTAAAATGGTAAAAAGCAGTTCTTGCTGGATATTTTAGAGTTCGCGATAGTGAAAGACATTTCAAGGGTATAGAGATTCTCGAGTCTGATCTGCACAACTAGCTGGGGGGGTGTCTTTTTCCCAGCTAGAATGTGCCCCACTTGAGGGCAAGGATGGAGTTGAGGACCTTTGTACCCGCACCGTGCAGCACTAAATCAGTGAGGAAAAACATATAAAGGAAGCACGGGGGCATGCGGGAGATTATACAAACAAAATGAACGTAATCCTCATTTGGATGAAACCTGATGTGATAACCGTTTTTTCCAGATAACACGAAGAATGTGATATTCATGGAAAACCATGTGGACTCATCCACCCCCTTTGACTTAAGAACTGGTAGAGATTTGGTGCTTTCATTTTTATCATGGTAGAATGAAGCAGTGTTTCTTTAAGCAGCTAGAACTGCAATAACCCTCGTAAGACATTTTTTCCCCCTAATTTATTGTCAGTTACTCCACTACATTACTGATCTGCTACGTAGTCCCAAGTGTCTATTTTTCCTGCCCAGGGGAGAAGAACAGACTTGCCAAGGCTGAGGAAGGGTGTGATCTCACACGTACGTACAGAGGCTCTTTGACACAGCCGAGCAAACCTGGAGTAAATAAAGTCTCCATGGCATGGAATAAGAAGAGGATGATGAAAATAAGTTTTAAAAAATCATTAAAGACTTGATTTGGAGGCAAGAGCTCACGAATAATGAGAATAAGCATCCTGTTAAACTTCTATACATAATGTCAATGAGTATGAAATACAGATTTCCTCTATAAGGTGCTATTTCTTTTTTTTTTTCAACGTTTTTTATTTATTTTTGGGACAGAGAGAGACAGAGCATGAATGGGGGAGGGGCAGAGAGAGAGGGAGACACAGAATCAGAAACAGGCTCCAGGCTCCAAGCCATCAGCCCAGAGCCTGACGCGGGGCTCGAACTCACGGACCGCGAGATCGTGACCTGGCTGAAGTTGGACGCCTAACCGACTGCGCCACCCAGGTGCCCCACTTTTTTTTTTTTAATGTTTATTTTTGAGAGAGAGAGAGAGAGAGAGCACAAATGGGGAGCGGCAGAGAGGGAGGGATACAGAGAATCCAAAGCAAGCTCTAGGCTCTGAGCTGTCAGCACAGAGCCCAACGCGGGACTTGAACTCATGAACTGTGAGATCATGACCTGAGCCGAAGTCGGACTCTTAACCAACTGAGCCAACAAGGTGTTATTTCTCGCAGAAGCAGCAGGATGATGTCCTCACAAGGCTGCTCTAGCTTCCCAGGACACCTGTTCATCTGGAGGCTTCATCAGCTTCCCGTCTGCAAATGCTTCCAGATCTTCTCTACTCCGTCTCCTTTGTCTTATCACCCATACTCACTCTACCCATTTCTCTCTCTGGATAGGCTTTGCGAAATGGTGGCCACTTTCCACTTTTCTCTTAACCACTTCTATAAACCTGACCCCTCGGGAAACAACTACTTTGTAAGAAGATAAACACTTCATTTTGAAGTAGTGTTCTAGTCTTGTCATCTTCTGTCCCAGGTTGATGTGATCTTGTCTTTACAGAGAAGTTTCTATAGCTCCTTCTCCACCACCTGAAGTCTTCTCCATTTCCCCCTACTTGTGCTGAGAGAGTCCCATACTTCTTGCAAAACATTGCTCTGTGAATCTCACTGCTGAGACCTGAACTCTCTGTCTACCATGGGGTACCCCAGGACTTTCTGAGGACATAAAATCAGAAATGGGGTGTTTTTGGTTTGGATTTGAATTGGTATTATCTGGACTCACATGGATTATGTAGAATATGTGAGCATGGTGATGATGCCTGTTTTGTGACCTCCCTCTTCCAACTTCCCTCGCTAGTTAAAGAATATGCTTTCTAAAGGTTTTTATGGATTTGTTTCACTTGTTATGATTAATAAAGATTTACCAAATCCTATAGTATGTTTATGTTTTCGTCAGTTGTGTACCATTGATAATTGTAATAATAGCACAATAAAAAATTCAGTTTGTTAGGGGGCACCTGGGTGGCTCAGTTGGTTGAGCGTCCGACTTAGGCTCAGGTGATCTCACAGCTTGTGGGTTCGAGCCCCGCATCAGGCTCTGTGCTGACAGCTCAGGGCCTGGAGCCTGCTTCAGATTCTGTGTCTCCCTCTCTCTCTGCTCCTCTCCCACTTGTGCTCTGTCTCTGTCTCTCTCAAAAATAAATAAGCATTAAAAAATTAAAAAAAAATTCAGTATAGAAATAGGTTACTTAAAATTCTTGGGGGGGAGGGTTGGAATGAAGGAGCTTAAGAAGAAAGGGGAATGTTGTCAGATTTCCAACTGTTCAGGGCTTGTTCTTGGTTTTTGAAGGAGATTACAGTGGTCATCAAATCACTGTGCCATATAGATTCTTTAACAGTGATATAACATTTTTATTTTAAGACATTAATATTTATATTATTATATTTATATTTTATTACTATTTATCTATCTGTGTCATCAATAAAGTATTTAAAATATGACAGAATTCTTTTTAATGGCAACTTACATATAGCATAATTTTTATTGGGACAGTGGACAAAAGGGTTGGGAAAACATGGCCTGCCCTGCTCTTTTTTTTTTTAATGTTCATTTATTTTTGAGAGGGAGAGAGAGAGCGAGTGGGGGAGGGTCAGAGAGAGGCGAAGACACAGAATCTGAATCAGGGTCCAGGCTCTGAGCTGTCAGCACAGAGCCTGAACCGGGGCTAGAACTCATGAACCCCGAGATCATGACCTGAGCCGAGGCTAGAACTCATGAACCCCGAGATCATGACCTGAGCCGAGATCAGACGCTTAACCAACTGAGCCACCCACGTGCCACTGGCCTGCCTTAACTCTCCCCCAAATAATCTCCCCCCACTGTTGTACTATTCCTGGATAGACTGTAAATATGGAGCTGGGGGGGTGGGAGAGCATCGGCACGGAAGCCAGCTGACCTTGGCAGGAAAAATTGGAGGGGAGCAGAGGTAATATCCCCAAGGCTTGAGAGGAAAAAACGTGATGAGTTGGACAATCATTTGGACTGTCATCGACTCTAACCACCTTCATATGGGTGTAGGAAAATGGAGTGTCTTTCCAGCCACTGTCAGCCCTCTGTGAACATAGTGTGTCTTCAGCTGTCACACAGAAGAAACCCGGCACAAAGAAAGGGCCTCAGGTTAATGGTGGTTGTCACTAGGGTGAAAGAATG